CTTTTGACATTTTACCTTATTAAATTTGTAAGTTTTAACTCTTTATCTTACACTATAATATTTTTAACTCCATACTTATTAGAATTAAAGAAAATAACTCCCATTTGATAATATTTTGTTAATTCTGTTAACTGACTGTTAATTTTGTTAGCTGATTATTAATTTTATTAGTTGAAAATAAATTTTTGTCAATTAATAGTCAGTTAACAATTAGTTAACAATCAGTTAATAGAGTTAATAGTCAGTTAATAGAATTGTTTTGTTAGTTAACTATTAACTCTATTAGTTAAAAGTAAGTTTTTATCAATTAACAGTCAACTAATAGAGTTAACAGTCAGCTAACAGAACTAACAAAATATTATAAATGATGGTTATTTTCTTTAATTCTAACAGGTGATGAACTAAAAATATCATAATATAAAATGAGAGATTAAAACCTACAAATTTAATAAAATAAAGGATTAAAAGTAAATTTTTGCCAATTTCAAGATTAGTAGGTGTTTTCTTAGAAGGTTGAAATTACCCACATAATTGCAACATCCAAGCTACCATCTAGATCTTTATAGTTATTCTATCATTCTTGCTAATAAAATCCGCTCTTGCAGCCTTTTACCAATTTCTTCAAGCTACGTCCACTTCATATAATCTCTCCTTGCATCACAAAATTTAAATCTAGAATTTCTAACTTCAAATTTAAAATTCTTAATCGTTAGAGGCACTTGTCATATAACAAATGAATCAATTTATGATAGATGGTCTTTTTTTTTTAATCGGCTAGTCATCAAATTGAATGGTAGTTACCATAAATTTCGTCAATACGACCATTTTAAAGCAATTTTCTGATCCTCCTATGGAGGAATGGACAGAAATCGTAATATTAAAATCTTCTATTCATGGCCGAATATATCCAATCAATTTCATAAGCTTTTTATTTATTTATTTATTTTAATTTTAGATGAACACACTTCCATAAGCATTTGAAACTTAACAGTGAAGAATTCATCACTTTTCTCTCCAATTATGGAAATAAACTAAAGCTGATGAATCAACGTTCCCATTTGCTTAACTAAAGATATGCTGAGTATCAAGCAGATCAGGGTTCTCTATCATGACGTCTAAGAAAACAAAAGCAATCGGTGAACTCAATTATTTTAGGAAGTGGATGTGTACACATTTTTTTTCTTTTGGGTAAAAAAACGTCTAGGATGATAGGAGGTTGGAAAACGATTGAAACACCTCTTAATTAAGCATATTTTTTTAATATATGTTTAGTTTTATCTTTAAAATATAATATAAATATAGTTAATTCAGTCAATTTTTATATGTAATATATATAATTGTATTTTTAAATTTATTTGTAATTAATTTTAAATTAAAAAAATAATAACTTTTTAATGAATATATTATATATTGTGTTAAACTAAAAAGTATACCAATTAGTGTTATTAAAGATTACTCTAATCCAAGGTTAAGGCATACTACAAACCTCAATGTTAATTTATAGTAGAATTTACCAATGATCTATACACAAAGGACCACTAAAAAAGTGAGATTAAAATTTAAAATCCCATCATTAAACTAATTAAATCATTCAAACCCTATTGAACCAACCCTTCTAAACGTATGTATACACATAAAATGCACTTCTTCTTTTTTTTTTTTTTCCCTTTTCTTCTAAAATTAAGACAAAGGAAATTAAACGAGGCAACATTAGATAAAGCTTGGGGATTTCTATTTCATGGTTTGGAATTGGTAAGAGGAGCAAATTGGCCCTTATACTTTGCAGTTGGCAAATCAGCCTTGAACCATTTTTCAAGATAAACAAACCCCTACAAGTTCTACCACCGACGATTGAGTCCAGCAGCTAGAAACAAACCCCCTCTGCCGTGGCAAGATTATTTTGCTTGTGTTAGAATCCGTCTCATAAAATAAAGACGAGAAAGTATGAGAAAATGAGGTGACTTTTCAACATTATATTTTATTTACTAGTCATATATATGTCTAAAATCAAAGGAATCATGATAACCTGTTAAAATATAAAATGAGATTATAATACTAGTATAAGTGGAAAATAATTGGAAAATATTTTGTATAATTTTTCTGTATAATTTTTATATTATTTAATAATTATTTTTTTATTGATACCTATAATATTATATACGTTTACTTATT